GCGGAAGCCACCTGTGCCACCCTCTACCTGCTCTCCAGTGTTGATTGGCCACAGGGCTGGGAGCTGTGTGTGTGCTGAGAGCGCTCACTGCTCTTGCAGACAGGATCAGGGTTTGGTTCCCGGCACCCGTGTGCTGTCCACAACCATCTACAATCCTAGTTCTGGGGGAACCCCTCAGCTACTTCTGGTCTCCCTGGGCGCTATGGATGCAAGCAACACACACACGCAAATGAAAAACAAGTAACTCTTCACACGTCTGTTCTTAGCATGTTTTCAAAAGCCGGCACACTGATTTTCCCTCCACTCAGGCCCCCAGCGTGACTGTATGTACATCCTCTGCCCTCGCTTACCCACGTAGCCCGGGTGGACAAGGCAGCTTCCATCTTGTAGTACCTGGGGCCACTTTTCAATTCAAAGCAATCATTCTTATTGTGAGCCAAATATGCAATTGCTGTATATCAGAAGAACACCTCAGCTACGACCGCTGCTGATTTTTATTGAGACTTATTGAGCTGGTTGGTTCGCTTTTTTGAGGCGGGTCTCGCGTGTGATCTCCAGTAGTCTCGAATATCTAATCCTCCTGCCTCCACCTCTCAAGTGCTGGGATTGCAGAGGGCGCTGGCGCACGAGGCTTCGTGCCCCTCGGCAAACACTCGTGCCTACTACCTCCGCCTCCCTCCTTTCCGGACAGCCTCGACGCGCGACCCAGAACAGCGTCTGCCTTCCCCCTGCTGGGACTCTGGGCGTGTCATCAAGGCCGACCGCGGCAGTTTCCACAGGCACAGGCTGGCCTTTGGCGCTGGCGAGGCACGTGGGGGCGGGCAGCTGGGGTCAGAGGCCACGGCGCCGCCGAACGCCCGAGGGCGATCAAGGTCGGGGCGTCCGCGCCTGCAGACTGCGCTCCGGAGCGCGGCTGCGTCCACGCGGCCCCCCTGCCCTTGTCCGCAGCCCCCCGCCAAACTCCTGCCAGCAGCCGGGCGCCGATTGGCTGAGACGACGGCGCCCGGGCCAATCAACGGCCAGCGTGCGAGCCACGTGGAAGGCCGCGGGCGGGGGAGCCGCGCGCCTGCGCACTGGGCTCGGCGCGCCGGGAGGCCCGCGGCGCCCACGTGACCCGGCTCGCGCGGCGGCTCGCCCCGGGTGGGGCGCGGGGAGCCGGCCTCACCCTGGGACAAAGCGGCGGGGCCGCGCTCCCGGGCGCGGGAGGCCTGGGCGAGGGCGCCCGCCCCGGGAGTGCCGAGCGGGGCTGGGCTGGCCGCCCGCGTCGCCCGGATGAAGGAGGCGACTCAGGAGGCCGCGTGGCCGCAGCAGGCTGCGCCTGAGTCCGTGGGACGGCGGCAGGACGCCCGGATCCCCCGGCGCCGACGAGCACCGCGCCCTCCTGCCTCTGCGCCGGGTTACCCTCCCCAAACCACCGTGCTCCGCGGGGTCACCCTTCTGGATCCCGAGCCCCAAACCGTAGGGGGAAGGAACAAAGGCCGGCCGGGTTGGGGGCTGTGGACCCACGCTCGGCTGCGCAGCAGATGGAGCCTCGCAGGCCCCTGAGCCCGACTTCCGCCCTCTGCAGTCCTGGGCTGTGCCACCCGTCCGCGGCGCATCCCGCAGGAACCCTAAGGGGACCCGGGATCCCATCCCAACGTGATCTCCCTGTGCCGGGCACCTGCCTGACTCCAGTTACCGTGGGCACACTTGCTCTCCTCCATGGGGAAGTCTCTGCCTGCAGTCGTAGCTGGTTCCTGCTGTGTGACCCGGTGCACAGCTGACTTACTTATGTCTGAGGGAAAGGGTCTGCACATCTGCAGTAACGCTGGTGCCTGCAGCCTGAGGCATTCCGTTCCAGCACCTCAGGTAGAGCTGGTGTTCAGACGGGGTGTAAGAGCAGAGTGCTCAGGAAAGGCTGATACACATCTGGTGTGGATGCGGCCTTCTCGCGTCCTGCTTTGAGTGAGCAGCAGTAACCATGTATGCACTGTTGGGTGGCCCTGCGGTTTCTACTGCTCAAAGCCTCCCCCTTCCGTGAGACCGCAGAGCCAGCACTTCCTGAGATGGTTTGGGAAGGACAGTCTGAGGTGAGAAAGCAAGGGTTGCACACAGCGTAAGCCACGTCTGTTATACTAGGGCTCATAATCCTGCCTGTGAGCTTCCCATACCATTGCAAGTTTATGTCTGGGAAAGGAGTGAGGCCAAACTCAGAGGTCGCGTACACTTGGTGTCAGGCCTGGCTTATTGCTGGCTTAGCCTTATTTGAGATATCTCTGTACAAAAGGGATGTTGCCTCTACAAAGACAACCTTCACAGAAGAGTTTATGAATCATGCTGGAGTTCTTGACTTTGAGCAAAAGACTTCACAGATTGTTGTGAGCCACTATGTGATTGCTGGGACTTGAACTCGACCTCTGGAAGAACAGCCAGTGCTTTTAACCGCTGAGCCATCACCTCTGCAGCTCTGGTTTTGTTTTTGGTTTTTCAAGACAGGGTCTCGCCATGTAGCCCAGGCTGTCCTAGAACTCACTCTGTAGACCACGCTGGCTTTGAACTCACAGAGATCTGCCTCATAAGTGCTGAGATGAGAGGCATGCACCCACCACCACACCCAACAATAAACTACATCTCTGAATTATTCCCAGCGAGTCTAAAGTGTGAAATTTAAAAGCAAAACAACAATAAAATACTCCAGCTGGAATGGCTCAGGGTAAAGCACTTGGTGTTTAGATACGAGAATCAGAGTTCTGTTTTTTTTTTTTTAGATTTGTTTATTCTATGTACAGTGTTCTGCCTGCATGTACACCCGCAGGTCAGAAGAGGGCACCAAGTTATAGATGGTTGGGAACCAACATGTTATTGCTGGGAATTGAACTCAGGACCTTTAGCCATCTCTCTAGCACCGAGAACCTAAGTTTAGAACCCCAGCACCCACGTAAAAACCAAGTGTGGAAAGAGGCAGTTCCCGGCCAGTTTGTCCAACCAGTGAGCTCCGGGTTCAGTGAGAGACTGTGCTTAAAAAAATTAAGTGGAGGGCTGGTGAGACAGAGGCTCTGCTGCTGAGCCTGATACCCAGAGCTCATGTCCTAGACAATGCATTGGAAGGAGAAACTGATTCCTGCAAGCTATCCCCTAACCTACACACACACACACACACACACACACACACACCAAATAAATGGGAAAAACAATAAAGATGGAAAAGCACTTTAGCAAGACAGCACACACTGACCTCTGGGCTCTTCATACATGCACATGACACACAAAACAACCTGAATTTGTAGCATCTTTTCAAGCCACAGCCAGCTTCTAACTGCACACCAAAGCCAGCTGAAAAACAAAAATGTTTAAACTTTAAAAAAGATTTATTCATTATCTGTACAGTGTTCTGCCTGCACACCAGAAGAGGGCACCAGATCTCATTACAGAAGGTTGTGAGCTGCCATGTGGGTGTTGGGAATTGAACCTAGGACCTCTGGAAGAGCAGTGCTCTTAACCTCTGAGCCATTTCTCCAGCCCCAGCAAATATGAGTTTAATTCTAGCACACAGCAGGCAAAGACAGCCCAGATCTCTGTGTGGGTTTCTGGCCAGCCAGGACCACACTGTCAGACCCTGTCTCAAAATGAAGTAAATGGAAACAAATACTCTAGGGAGTCCTTCATCAGGAAGGAAAACAGGAGCACTTAGCAGGAAGTAAGCAAAGACTGTCAAAGATTTTTATTTTTTTGTAGTGGCCACAAAATAAAGGAATACAAATTCAAATAGTCACAACTGGGCATCAGCCAAATTGGCAAACATGCCCAGGTGTACAGGGAGGTGTCGTGTGGGGAAGCTGGAAGGGCAGACCTGGGCGGTGTCATCTGCTGTCGCAGCCCTAAAGTTTCCCACTATGGAGAAAGAGTGGGGCAGCCACGCATGCCTCCGCGCAGGGTTACTGTGTGCAGGCGCAGTGGAGATTGTGGCTCACGGGGAGAGTTTGGACCCTACCCACTTCTTAAAATCTATCGTCAACACAAGCAGAGTGGCAAGGCAAGGGGTTTATTTGCAGCCAGTGTGGTTATTTTCATCAAAAAGAAACTGAGCGAGAACGCCCCAAGGCTTCGGGTGCTCTGGGCGCAGGGAGGGCCGCGGATGGGCCGCGCTCTGCTGCTGGAGCGGCTCAAAGCGCTGCAAAACCTGGAGCTCCCTTACAAAGCTGGCGGCAAGAGAAGAGACGCAGGTGGACGCCGAGAAACGGAGCCGCAGCTTCCCGGGGCTCAGGCCCGCCTGCACCTACCCTCCCGCGCGTGAGTGGCCGCGGAAGTGATCACGCCTGTGGGGTCAGGCGCGAAGGCTGCCACGGTTTCGGCTTCCCCTCTCCCACACGGGGGTGGGCGGCCGTAGCCCCAGCCGGGCCACACCTCGTGGGAGACCCTGAGGCAACGCACCCCCGTCCGCGGCTGCCCACTCCGAGCCTGCCTGCGCTCCGGGGCTGGAAGGCCAAGTGCTCCTGGCAGGAAGAGCCGCGCTGGAGAACTTTTCCTCACTGCGACGGAGTACGGGAGACGGGCTCGCGCTCAAGAAAAAAGCGCTGTCTGCAGTTGTGGAGGGCACCGCACCGGCATCCGCGGCCGTGCGAGCGTGGGCCGCACTCGCTCGTCTCCACAGCCGCCACGCCGCTCCCTAAGCGCCCGGCACTGTGAGCCGCACCGCGCAGGCCAGGGGTGGAGACTGCGGGACTTGGCCGCGGAACGGGGAGGTGAGCGAGCCGGAGCGCACCGCCCTTGGCAGCGGGCTCTGGGCCCACGCGCGGGCCGGGCCGCAGCCTCGGTCTCCCCAGGCGTCCAGGCCCGAGCTGCGGGCGCTGCCGGCGTCCAGCCTGCCCAGCGCTAGCAGCGGCCAATCAGAGCCGAGCCGCCTGCCCGCGAGCTGATTGGCTCAGGCCGCTCGGGCCTCGCCCAATCGCGGTGCGGTCTCCGGGCCGCCGGCCGCGGGGCTCCGGGCTTTTGTTCCCCGGAACCCGAGGGTGAGCGGGCCGCGCGGAGGGCGGAGCCGGGGAAGCCGAAGGGAAGCCATACTGGAGATGCAGCCCGCCTTTCACACTTAAGCTCGAGGCCTGGGCAGGGACCGCACACCGAAACGAAGAGAAAGTGGGCTCCTGAGCAAACTGCCTGAACACCGAGGCTACTGGACGTTGGCCGTACAGGGCCTTGCTTTGATTTTCTTTTGTTCGAAACGGGGGCGGGGGTCAGGCGGGCTTGGAACTCCCTCTGGAGCCCAGCATTTGGTACCGTTGCGCTCCAAGTCTCCCGAGTGACTACCGGCCGTATGCCCCGTGCCCACCTCCAGGACTTGCTTGTGTTTAAACAAGGCCACCCATAACCCGTGATGGCCCAGTGGCTCGGGTGAGCAGCAGTTGTCCCCGGCCCCACCGGAGAGGCGAAGGCCAGGATGACGTGCTGGCGGAGGCTGGCCACGGCGGACGCCTGCCTCTTGTTGGCCAGGTGCAGGCTCACTTTCTGAGAACGGCTCCCGCGGCTTCACTGAGCACCCCATCTTGTCCCCAGAGTGGCTCAGAACCGGGCCTTCTGCTAGCCCCAGGCTCCCAACAGGCTGGCGGTCACCGCAGAGGCAGGCCCAGGAAGCAGCATTTTGGTTACAGAGAACAGAACCAATTAGCAGGGATTCGGTTTTCAATAATTATTTTTCTCCCATGATTTTGATGGGATGAGGGGTGGGGCTTGGGGTGGTTAGAGGTAGGGGTCCCGATTCCTTTGCTCTTCCCCCTGAAACCGTGGCAGCTGGCTTTCCTCCTCTCCTGGTTGCAGGGTGGCTGAGTGCTCCCGGAGTCCCAGCATGGACGCGCTTCCTGTCTCTCAGCACCCCAGGCCCCGTGCTGCCTGGGGCTCAGCCCCACACCGCTCCCAGCCTTGACCCGGAATCATGAATCAACACCAACCTGTTCTCTTCATGACTTGAAAAGAACAAGGGGAGGATAGGAGAAGCACGGAAGTCATATCTGTCCTTCAGGAGAGGGACGGAGAGAGAAGGTACTGGAGGTGAGTGAATGTGTCGGCGTGGGAGGGAATACAGAGACCTTATTCACCGGGGACTCAGACTATGCGGGTGTTCATGGCTTCAATTAGCCCGGTGCTGCGCCGAGAACCTTCCGAGGTGGGTGGTTCTGACCAGCTCGTAAATGGCTTTTGTAAAGTGCTAAAGCAACGACTGTAGCACAACATGAGGCGACCAACCAAGATGTCTGTCCCGGTCACACAAGGGCAAATGGCAAGAGTTGTGTTAAGCTAGCATTCCCAGGGGAAATGGGCAGATAGAGAGCCAAATGCTGTGCTTTCGAGTCTGGGCAGATTCAAATAACAGGTAAAGCTTGTCCTAACTGGGCAGTCACAACTCCCAAGTTAGCTTGCCTTCCTCCCCTGCAAGGAAGGATGCTAGAACCCTTTACCTGTGAGGTAGAAACAGAAGGGCCAGGACTTCAAGGTAATCCTCAGCCATGCAGTAGATTTGAGGCAGCCTAGGCTACCGGACACCTTATCTCCAAATATTAATACAGTGAAATTAATTAGGAGAAAATATATGTTTAAGCAAACAAGGATTAAAAAAATGACAGTTGAGTTATAAAAAGAAACACTGAACCACAAGAAAGAGAACAAATGATGTATTAAAATTGCTAAAACAAAGCCAGGTGAGGTAGTGCACGCCTGTGATCCTAGCACTCAGGCAGGCAGAGGCAGGCGAATCTCTATGAGTTCAAGGCCAGCCTGGTAATTGCTAAAACAAAAATTTTTCCCTCTCTTTCTTGTATTTGCTTAAAAAAAAAAAAGGATTTATTTATTATATATACCATGTTCTGCCTGCGTGTATACCTGAAGAGGGTGCCAGATCTCTCTATAGATGGTTGTGAGCCAACATGTGGGTGCTGGGAACTGAACTCAGGACCTCGCGAAGAGCAGACAGTGCTCTTAACCTCTGAGTCATCTCTCCAGCCCTTGTTTTTGCTTTTGAGACAGGGTTTCTCTGTGTAGCTCTGGCTGTCCTGGAACTCACTCTATAGAGCAGGCTGGCCTTGAACACGGAGATCCTCCTGCCTCTGCCTCCTGAGTATTAAAGGTGTGTGCCAGTACCACTTGGCTTTAAGACAGATATTTTCAATGTAGAATTCTATCTAGAAAACACATCCTTCAAGTGTGAAGGCGCCTAGTGGTGCGGGCCTGCAGTCTCATTGCCCACAGCATGGGAGGACGCAGTTTAAGGCCTGTCTGCACTACAGAGCAAGACCCTATCTGAAAAGACAAAGAGGAAGAGAAAGGAATGTGACACGGGGAAAGGCTGCTTTAAACATTCAGGGGCCAGGAGGCCGCTCAGAGCACGCTGCAGCTGCAGAGGACCTGTTGCGCCTGTGTGACTGAGGGGTGCAGCCTCCTCTAATTCCAGGCGAAGGCCTTGGTGCTTTGTCCTGGAGGGCACCTGCCTGAACGCGCGCATGCCCGCCCAAAGACACACGAACATGGTAAAAATAAAGTCATCGGGCAGGGCTTTACCCCAGCACTCAGGAGGCAGAGGCAGGCGGATCTCTGAGTTGGAGGCCAGTCTAGTCCACAGAGTGAGTTCCAGGACAGCCAGGGCTACACAGAGAGACCCTGTCTGGAAAAACAAAAATCAGAACAAAATAAAAACAAAGTATTTAGAATAAGCCAATACATTAATAATAATGTATTCATTATTATTCTTATTCGGTGTTGCTAAGGATGAGGAGAAGGCAGAGAACTTCACGCCGAAATGCTGCCCATGCCTGTGGGGTGACTTAACTGAGCAGTAATGTCCTTCATGGAAAAGGGGCGGGGCTACACAACCCCTCAGACGTTGCTGGTGTGAGTGCCGACACCGAGGCCTTCTGGCAGCTGGTGTACAGTTAAATATTCACTCACATACGGTCCCTCGAGTCTCCGTTTACCACGGCGAGCGCACAGTTTCCTTCCCACCACTGGGACCTGAGGTGGAACAGTCAGCATTTTACCTGTAAAGCCAGACCTGGGCCAGCAGCGGTCAGCAGGCATCACTTGTTACAGTTCCAGTCATCTCTTACAGTCAACTCACTCTGCAACCCAGTTGTCCAGAGACTCTCCCTGGACCAGGCAATCCACAAGCTCGCAAAGACCCACTAGCACCTCTTCCTGCCTCCCAAGCGCTGGGATTATTCTTTTTTGTTGGGGAAAGGGGTGACATTTGAGGCAGGGTCTCCTAGAGTCTACACTGGCTTCAGACTCACTCTGTAGCCACAGTGACCTTGAACTCCTGATCCTCCTGCCTCCACATCCTGAGCACTGGGATCACAGGTTTGCGCGTCTGTCCCTAGTTCTCTGTGTCTCTGTTGGTGAGGATTTGGTTACCCTTTCCCTCATGTCCTGTGTGAGGGAGTGCTCAGCGGGGTTAGCATGCGCTGGACTGCAGCCCGTGACCTGCAGTCTCAAAGAGGCATGTTCGCGCGCAGGAGATACGCTAGCTGCCTCCTAGCTCATCTCTAATTTGTTTTTTGAGCCTGATCCAATCCAGGGTAGGTCCCCTGCTGGGTTGGGTTGAGGTACTCTGCTGCCCTGGGGTGGGGCCTTCTGTCGTTTTTAAAACTGAAGCAAGGAGGGGTCAGGGTCAGGGTCAGGGTCAGGGTCCACAGGCATGAGTGGGGGTGTGGCTCTCCTCAGCCTCACAGGGTAGGACCTAAGGGTCCGCAGATGAAGTCGGCGTGGCTCATCAGTTGAGGGGCCAAGCTATACATGCATATATACATACATATACATTGCACATACACACACACACACACACACATGTCCACATGCGTCACACAGCAAGTCTTAAGTGGGGCATATTTTACTACACATTTTTCAAAACTTCCCAACATCAATTGTCGCCAAGAATGAACAGGGAACAGTGGGATTCTCATTCACTGGTGGCAGGAATGTGAAACAGCCCATCCAGCTGTTCTGAAGAAGAGAAACACATCTTGCCATACAACTCAGAAATCCCTCTTAGGGGTTTTACCCAGATTATCGGAATACACGTCCACACAAACCACAGTAATGTTTATTCATAATGACCAGAGGCTGAAGGAGCTCTCCTCAGTCACTAGGTGACACACCCGGGTTTTTCCGGCCCAGGGACTGTGGAAACAAGGAACCAAGGTTGGTGCAGAGCCTGAGGAATCTTCCGTGTATACATCCCAGGGCAGCAGGCCAGTTGCAAAGGCCACCCACCATGTAATTGCATTTACAGGGCATTCTAGAAAAAGCAAAGGTACAGAACGACCACCACAGGCCCTCAGATGCGGGTGGGAAGAAGGACACTGTTTTCGGGGTGTGGATATGTCCTGTACACTGCGGCTGTCTCACACTACATTTACCAAGCTCTGCCAAGGGGCCTGCGGACGCGGCCTCGCCAGCAGCAAAGCACTTGTGTGGCACAGGGCTGAGCCTTGTGTTGGCACCATCACATTACCAAACAAAGGAACAGACACACAGAGAAACTTACCACAGGAAAGGTGAGCCATACTCCACAGCTCAGGAGTTGTTGCATGCTGGTGCACATCTGTCATCCCTGCCCGTGGGCTAAACCAGAGGGTCATGTGGCTAAGACCAGCCTGGGCTACATGGCAACTGGTCCCCCTCCGTGCACACGCAGAGACAGAGAGAGAGACAGAGAGAGGCAGAACATGCATTTAGAAGAAACAGGATCCCAGCTGGAATGCAGACAGTGACAGGAGCGTCCTGCTGCATCAACAAATGCACTGGGTGATAAGACTGGAGCAATGCAGAGAGTATTAGCATGGCCCGTTGGCA